CCACCATCACAGCCTCCACCAGTGGCACCACCGTCACTACAGCTATCACCTCCAAAGCACCAGTACCATCATCAGTCCAATGACTTAGTCTTTCTCTTCTAACCCAAGCAGAGAGAGTAGAGCTTCAAAATGGCAGAATCAAATGCTCATCAGAGTCACTTTTCGTTTCCATTCATTTCTCCTCCCCTCCTCCTATGAGAAAAAGGAGCTCTGTTGGCACTGTGGTAAGCATTCAGCAGCTAACCAAAATGTTGGCAGTTCAAACCCACCAGTGGCTCCACGGGGGAAACACAAAGCAGTCTGCTTCTGTAAACATCAACAGCCTTGGAAACCCTATGGGGGTCGCTATGAGTCAGAATCAACTCCTCCTATATGAAGCAGTATAGGATGGAAGAAATGCACTGGTCCATGAATTAGGAGACCTGGGGTAAGGAGGAGTCAGGGTCCTGGTTATGCTTTGGGGTGGCTGTTGGTTCCCAGAATCGTACCCATAGCAACCTTGGGAAGGTCCTTCAGGAGGATGCTGTTGCATTCTAGTCTTCCCCAGACGCTCCTGGGCTGAGAAAAGAAGGCTTACTGGCCCAATGACCTCAGACAAGTTAATTTCCAGACCAAACCTCAGTATCTTCGCCTATAACTGGAAATAATAACTCCTGCCCATCTTCTTTCTCAAGCTTAACATATGAAACTCAGATCATCCTCTGTCCTATTCCATCTTGCTCCCAACTTTCTCCCAGGCCCAGGGCCCTCAAGCCCTCTAGCCTAACTTAAGGTGAGACCTTGAGCAAGAGTGCAGAGCTCTGGTTCCAGGCCCTGGATCCCAGGGGCTTGGCTGAGTCAGTCAAGTTGAGAAATCAAAGGTTTAGGGCTCAGTCTTGAATAACATGAGGTAAGAGAACATTTCCCACCCACTTCCACCACCAACTCATTCTATGACCATAGTCAGATCACTCAACCATTTCCTATATTATAACTAGTTCCTATTCAAACTTGAAAAAAATACAGGAATAGAATTCACTGCCGTTGAGTTTGAGTTTGATTCAAACTTGAAAAAATATAGGAGTGAAAAGGAAAGTAATATTTATTGCTCTCTTACTGACACACCAGCCAGTTCATCAAACCAGCCCTTTGAGATATCAAATATTATTTCCAAATTTACACTTGAAGAAGGAGCTCTGGTAGCATAGTGCCTAAGGCACTTGACTGCTAACCAGAAAGCTGGCGGTTCAAACCCACCAGCCACTCCTCAGAAGGAAGATGGGGCAATCTACTTCCATAGTGATACTGCCTCAGAAACTCAAGGAGGGGTCACTATGAGTCAGGTCTGACTTGACGGCACATAACAACAACAACAACAACAACACTTGAAGAAACTGAGACTTGGAGAGTAGAGCCAGGGTCTTATGCATGCAGAGTACATGTTGTGGCCTCCATATTGCCGTCTTGCTTTGATCTCGAAAACCAAAACCAAACCCACTGCAACAAGACGAGTCCAACTCATAGCAACCCTATAGGAGAGAGTAGAACTGCCCCACAGGGTTTCCTAGGCTGTAAATCTTTACGGAAGCAGACTGCCTCATCTTTCTTCCACAGAGTGGCTGGTGGGTTCGAAACACCAACCTTTTGGTTAGCAGCCAAATGCTTTTAACCACTGCGCCACCAGAATGCCTTTTGCTTTGATTTCTAGTAAAAGGAAATGGGAGGACAGTCGTGGTTCAGTGGTAGAATTCTCACCTTCCGTGCAGAAGAACTGAGTTCTATGCCTGACCAATGTACGTCAAGCACAACAACCACCACCGCCTGTTATCGGAAGCTTGCATGTTTCTGTGACACTAAACAGGTTTGAGTAGAACTTCTAGACTAAGACAGACTAGTAAGGTCTGGTAATCTACTTTCAAACCATCAGTCAACAAAAACTCAGCATATCGATCTGATCCCATTGTGTGTGGGGTCATCATGAATCAAGGTCAACAATAACAGAGGGAAATGGAGAAGACACAGGAAGGGGATGGAGAAAAGAAAGAGGAGAAGGGAGGTCTCAGTTTCACCCTAAAAGTCTCCAATCCCCACCATCTGGAATCCCAAAATAGCCCCTGATTTACATAACACTTTGCTGGGAAAGCGCAAGGAGTGCAGATGGGTATGGTGCCAAACTGAGCCTGAAACAATACACTTAGCAGCCATCACAGGACAGGGTCCAAGACCTCAGGTTCCTCCTCTGTTGGCCCTAAGGACCGACCTTCCTTGAGATGATTCCTATGGTCATCGCACCCCTTCCCAACCCTGAACCCCTTGGCATGTACCATGTGACTATCATTAAGTAAGTGCAAATTAAAACAACAAGGAGATAGTTTTCGTCATTCATATGGGCAAAATGTTTAAAAATTGGTACTATCTCTGGTGGTGTAGTAAGTTAGGCATTTGGCGGCTAACCAGAAGGTCAGTGGTTCAAATCCACCAGCTGCTCCATGGGAGGAAGATGAGACGATATACTTCCATAAAGATTTACAGCCTTGGAAATCCAATGGGGGTCGCTATGAATTGGAATCGACTTGATGGCAGTGAGTTTGGGTTTAATGCTGATGAAGGAGCCCAAGTGAGACAAGACATTTCAGATCGGCGGCCAACCTAAAGTCTGGCGGTTGGAACCCACCCAACCGTTGCAGAAGAAAAGGCTTGGTGATGCGCTTCCATAAAGATTGTTGTTGTTAGGCACCGTCAAGTCGATTTTGACTCACAGAGACCCTGTGTGACAGAACTGCCCCCTTAGGGTTTTGCAGGCTGTGATCTTTCTTTACGGGAGTGGATCACCGAGTCTTGATCTTTCTCCCGCGGAGCTGCTAGATGGGTTCAAACTGCCACCCTCTCAGTTAGCAGCCAAGTGCTTAACCGTTACGCTACTAGAACTCCTTTTGTAAAGATTACGGACAAGAAAACCCTATGGAACAGTTCTGCTCTGTCACACGTGTGGTCCCCTTCAGTGAAGAGGGCAGGGGCAGCTAACAATGATGCCGATGACACTGTGGGGAACTGGGGTCCTCTCCTACATGATTGGTGGGGTGTACTGGTATATTGGTACCACCTTTTGGGAGGGTGCCTTGGCAGTGCTATGTACTATCAAAAGGTAGAATGTGTTTGGGTATTAAGAGATTTGTCCAACCAACCTCAGACCCACTTATAGAAATCAGACGGCTACTGGCAAACAGTCAAACAAAAAGCAAAGCTGCTTTCACCTGCTCAAGAGGAGTGAAGCCTATCAGCCCTAATAGAAAGCAGGCTTAGGCCAAAACAACAAAACAAAACAAAGATCTAAACAGTTCTTAGAGTTGGGAATGTGGAGAAGAGAAAGCATTAGTAGCTCAAAGGCCATGAAGGACATGTGAGGCTGAAACATTTGTTTCATCAACCCCTACCATCACACACACGTATACAAAAGTAAATTGAGCTATTTAACAACAGAGCTACCCAAAGTTATCTTAATTATAATAATCAACCAATCACACCCAGAAAAGTGGGGGTTGCCAACAATTAAAACACACCCACACACCCACATACACAGAGAAACGGGCCTCTCTCTTCCTCTACTGAGAACGTCTACCATCAACTAGTATACACTCACAGCACATTCACAACACACACCATGCACACAAAGACACGGACACAAGGCTGTGTCAGGCCCTACACCAGGCTGCCCCATAAGCAGACAAGTCCATAGGCACCAAAAGTCTCTAGTTGGGCCAAACATTGCTTCATCCTCAATTTCCCTCTCCCAGCCCCATCTGAGCTGCTTCAACTAGTACTTGTTGGGGAACATTCTTCCAATGCACCCCACCTCATTCTACCCATGAGGAGATCATGACTGTGTTTCTTGTCCAACTGAAGGATGGGTTGAGGGTGGGTGGGAGAGGAATGATCTGGGAGGGAGGGAGTGAGTCAGCCCAAGGCAAAAAGCTGCAGGGCTGTGGGTGGGCCTCGGGTGGAAGGATTTTTCGAAAGGGAAGAAGGTCATGGGTGATGTGACGGAGACAGGCCAGACCACCATGGCAAGAGGACAGAAAGGGAGCTATTCTCTGAGCCCAGGTCTTCCTTTTCAGAAGCATGTAGTGGGAGGAAGTGGCCACTGGCGTCCCAGTCACTGGAGCCCAAGCTGAGAAGATACAGGGTGATTCAGGGCTGATGGGACTGCACTGAGGGTGCTGTATCTCCCGTCTGCCTCACCCCACCAGGAGGCCCCTGAGACCTGGAGGCGGCAGCAAAGGAGAGGGCCAGGGGTCTCTGCTCCCCTTCCCCACGGAGACCCTGAGGTGCCCAAAGCAGCCCCTTAGGCAGATCAAAAAGCATGGAGGTTGTAAAAGATACAAACACACTTAGAAATACTGATACTGAGGAATTTCTGATGAGTTTTTATCCAGTTTGGTAATGATATTGTGTTTTTCAACACACGTGCTAAAAAGTCACTTTCAGAGATGTTTACAGAAGTATTTACAGATGAAATAATACACTCTCTATGATTTACTTACTAATTTCTTATATTACTATACTCACTGTGGGAGCTCTGGTGCCATAGAGCCTAAGGCATCTGACTGCTAACCAGAGGGTGGTTCAATACTCACTGTATTACTAATGTAGCTGCACACAGAAGAGGTGGAGGTGGGGGAGCAAAAGAAGAAATAAGACTGGACTGTGTTGACCACGTTGAAGTGGTGAGGGGGACACGGAAGTGTGTCACATTTTTTTCTCTACTTTTGTATATGTTTGAACTTTTTCATAATTAAAAAATATAAATGCATGGATTCAAACAGGAGACAACAGAACTTGTCTAGAGGGGATTATCCTGTAGGAATATCAAGAAAAGAAGGAGGCTGTTGGGGTTAGGCTGGCAATAGATAGAGACGCATGCCTCTGAAATATACCTCCCTAGACAGAACACAGCTGCCCCAGCCTGCCCAGATCCCTGCAGTTCTAGCTCATGCTCCCCATCCTACAGGACAGAAGGGGCACAGGTCTGGCTGTGGGGAGACCTCCAGTCAGGCCCTAACACGGGATACCCCACCGAAAGCCCCCAGACCACACCTTAGAGTGGTGGTGTTAGGCCTCAGTTCCGGTCTGTTGTGTAACTCTGTGCAAACCACTAGGTATTCCTACACCTCAGTGTTCTCAGCTGTAAGATGGGCAGACTGCTTGTTCTACCCAACACACAGTGAAATAACAGAAGTGAAAGCCCTCTCTGATCGCATCAAGGCCTTCGGACAACATGGGCGGTTGTTTCCTGGTGGCCATGGGAGACAGCAGTCCTCTGGGCTCTGGTGCCAGCCCTGCTATTAATGACTGTGCTGTGCAACCTCAGAAGAGTCTCTTGCCATCTGTGGGCCTGTTTCCCTGTCCTTGCATCAAAGGGGATGGATGGGATCAGCTGGGTCTTGACCAGTTCAGACACACTGGGACCAGAGGCCTGAGTTGTGCCCAGGTGTTCCCAGAGGGGCACTATGGTTGAGGGGAGCAGAGAGGAATTATCAGGCTTAGGAGATGAAGACTGAACCATTAAAAAGAAAAAAAAAGGTCAGCTACCCTGGGTTCATCCTGGGAAGGAGGAATAGCTCAGCAACTTAAAAAAAATGTAGTTGGTGGCAGGTCCCTCAATCCCAGGCTGTCCCACAGTGACCCATCTGGAGGGAAGATATCCAGACTGAGTACCAACTCCAGGCCCAGCACAGCCTCTTCCCTTTCCCTCCTCAGGCCTCACACCTGCTATCCAGCCTCCAGCTCTCCAACCGCTCCCTGGCCTCAGACCCACCATCCTGGGCCCACCGATGACACAGCCCCTCTATGCAGAAGTCCTCCACACTAACCCACACACAGGCAGGGCTCACTCAAGGGGCTGCTTTCTAAACAGACACCACACACATTGCAAGTTTCTTTTTCTTTCTCCACACAGAAGGTTCTGTCCGGAAGCAGCACCCTAAGCCTCAAACCTTACCCCTCATACACTGAGCTGGGGGGACCCTGAGCCATGGGGACTTCCCCCCAGCTAGACCTAGACTGGGGGTTCTGTGGACAGGCTTTCAGGGCACAGGCCTCTAAGGGTGTGAGTATGGGGCTGGCCACAAACTAGGACCCCTAGATTATCTTCACCTGTTCAGGCCGGTGGGCATCTGTGCCTTCCAGCAGGAGCCTGTGACTGGAAGGAACCAAAGTCCCCTCACATTTTAGCTCCTCCAACATGCACACACAAGCACACACACACCAGACATATGATCTCAAAGTATGACCGGAAAGGACACTTGGCAACTGTGTCTCCATGTCACCAAATCCCAGTCTGCTCCCGTCACAAACGCTGACAAGTACACAACAGCAGCAAAGGGGTTGGAGGCAGGCGTGCATAGGGACCCCTGAAATGAGGGGCCCGAGTATCACCCCACACTTTTCAGACTCTGCCTTCCCTCCACTTCCCCACCTGTAGGGGCTCAGAGGCCTCCTGCCCTGGCAGACCGAGAACTCAGGCTGCTCCGCGGCCCTTCGGACGCATTCAAGCATTGGGAGGTGCAGGGCGCACACCAGGGCAGGATGAAGCCAAGGGACCCCTCCCCTAAACCAGGTGACTTCCCACGCCAGCTCTCCATCACCTTCCTTTTAAGTTCTCTGCCTCCTTGGAGGGCTGCCTTACAGGCAAACAGCTCCTAGAGCGTTCCTTGTCCTCGCTACAAAGCTCACCCGACCTCAGAAAACTTAAGCCAGAACTGCGAGGACACTGGCAATATCTAGACGGAAAAAAACGAGAGAGAAAAGTCCTTGTTCCGGGCGCCCGAGGCTCCCCCGCCCGGCGACGACCAGTGCTGGCGCGCCTCCACTCACCGGCCCTGCTTGGTGATGATCATCTCCGTCTGGTGCTGGTTGAACTTGGACCACAACAGGTGGTTGTTGAGCGCAACGCGCAGCTTCCCAGACACCTCGAGGCCGGCGGGCGCCGCATAGTCCGAGCGCGGCCCGGAGTAGAGGCCGACTCGCGGATCCGGGGCCGCGTAGCCATCCCCAGGCTGGTAGCCCTCGGCGCCCGCGGAAGGCGGGAAGGGCTCGGCCGCGCCAGGGAAGCCGGCAGCTTGGGGTCGGGCCGGGTAGGCGTAGGTTCCCAGGAAGCGGCCCGGAGGACCGGGCACCAGGGCGCCCCCAGCGTAGGGAGCCCCTAGGCTGCCGGCCCC